CCGGGGGTGGGGAAAGTATTAGGACCCTGAGGGTTGGGGTTCCCAGGGAGGAGGAAGAGTGCTGGGGGGTCCCTGGGGACCCGGGTCCACGTTCTCACCGGCCCCTCCTCCTTCCCGGCAGTAAAGTCCTGGAAGCCGAGATGGACCCCCAGCGAAGACTGCCGCACCCCCGGCCCCGCTCGGGGTCCCGACACCGGCCCAGCCCCCGGCCCCGCTCCCGCTCCCGCCCCACACCCTCCGGGGGCTGCCGGCGGCCGGCGCAGCGCACACACGGGTGAGTCAGCCCCGTGCAGGACGCGGGCTCCAGCCAGGAGGGCAGACACTGCCCGGTCCTGGGCGCACGCTTCGCGGTGCCCACGCTGGATGAGATGCCCAGTCCGTCTCCATCAACGCCCAGCTTAAGACCAACCGCTCTGAACGGAAACGAAGGAGACTCCATCCTCTCTCCCCGACCATCTCGAGCTTATTCTGCAGATGAGGAACAGGTTCATAAAGGCCCAGTGAGATACTGCTGATCTGGGACTTACGTCCCCTCTAACGATAGCGTTGCCCTCCTCCCACCGACATGGGGACTTAAGATCCGGCCTGGCTTGGGAGTGGCCTGAACAGGTCACTTCTCCCCCCTGGGCCTCGGTTTACTTTGTGAAATGAGTGATTGGAATCATGTTTGGGGAGCGGGCTTCTCTTTGACACCAAAAACTGACAAAGGCAGCACAATAAGAAAACTGCAGGCCCCTCTTCCTGTAAGGATGGTACGAAACTCCCAAATGATATTTTAGCAAAGAAAACCGAGCAACACTTTTTAAAATATGTCCCATCAAAGGTGACTTATGCCTGAGGTGCAGGGAGGGTCACTATTCCGAAGTTTGTCCATAAATTCACCACACTAAAGGATCAAATGAGAAAAGTTCCGAAAGGGCCATCAAATTCAGGGACAAGGTAAAGAGAACCACTATCAAGTGTTTAATATTGTTTGGCGGTACTAACCATGCAATTAGACAAGAAAAACAAGAGATATAAATATTAGAACAGAGAAAGGGAATGTGTAGGTTGAATCATTTGCAAGCACTGTTTATATAAGGTCAAAAATAATTGAAATAACTATTTTATGTGGTGCAATTTCATATTATTTTTTGTCTTTTACCTTTATATTTGACATAACGTAAGACTTACAGAAAAATTGGAAGATGAGTACAAATTACCCCTGGGCACTCTTTACCCAGACTCCACAGATGTTAACTTTGACCAGCTTTGCTGTCCTCCTCCTCCTCCTCCTCCTCCACCTCCTCCTCCTCCTCCTCTTCTCCTTCTTCTCCTTCTCCTTTCTCCCTCCCTCCCTTCCTCTCTCCCTTTCTACCTTTATGAAAAACTTGCAGAAATTATGTCTCTTTACCCATAAATATTTAAGTTTGCGTTTCCTAAAAACAAAGACATTCTCTCACATCAGCGTGGCACAATTATGAAAATCAGGAAATGGACATTAATAAAAGACTGTTATCTAATCTGCAAGCCTCAAACAGATTTTGCCAACTGTTCTGATAATGCCCTTTATAACAAAAGAGTATTTTGGCTCACACGCTATTTGTCAAGTCGCTGTCATCTGCTTTAATCCGGAACTTTCCTCGGTGTGTCTTTGCCTTTCATAATATTGCATTTTTAAAGAGCCCAGGCCAGTCATTCTGTGGAGGCTGAGTTTGGGTCTGTGTGATGTTTCCTTATAATTTCTGGTTGGCATTTTTGGCAGGAATACATCAGAAACCATTAAACCTAATAATGTTACCTGCTGGTGGCATGGTTTTCTATATAGAAGACCCAAAAGAATGAACTGAACTTTCCAATATCTAAACAACCAGCTAGAAATCTTTTGAAGAAAAGAAAGACCCATTCAAATAGTTAGGGTTTTTTTCATACCCAGGAATCATTTCCATATTATGTAAGGGGCTCTTATAAATGAAGAAAAAAAAATTTACCGCCCTAGCCGGCTTGGCTCAGTGGATGGAGCATCGGTCTGTGGACTGAAGGGTCCCAGGTTCAATTCCGGCCAAGGGCACATGCCTGGGTTGCAGGCTCGATCCCCAGTAGGGGGTGTGCAGGAGGCAGCCGATCAATGATTCTCTCTCCTCCCTTCCTCTCTGAAATCAATAAAGAAATATATATATTTTTTAAAAGTTAAAAAAATTACCTATAGAAAAATAGCAAAGAACATGAACAGTCAGTTCACGGAAACACACCAAAAAAGATACCCAACCTCCTCACTCCTAGAAAAGAAATGCAAATGGAAACAACAACATGGTACCACTTTCCACCGATTAGTTTGGCAAAGATAAAAACAAAAATAGATTAAAAGTTTGCAAACACGCTATGTCGGCACTGCTGTGGGGAAACAAGTGGTCCCAGGCAGCACAGGGGGAACTGCTGTAGCCGTTTTCTAGACTCTCAGCATTAAAGTGCAAATGCCATTCGATCCACCAGTTCCCCTCTGGCTACTTTCTACAGGCAGATGTCCATGGATACATCAGAAACAACTGATGGGTTAGATACAATGCAGAATCCTGGGTTGGATCTTGGGACAGAAAAACACTTAGTGGGTAAATCAAATAAAACCTAGAGTTTAGTTAATAGTATATGCTAAGGTTAATTTGTTAGTTTTGACAAAGGAAGCATCCTATCTAATAATAGACAAATATGGTAATTAACCGTACCTCTGACACACTTCCCATTGGCTAATCAGGGTGATATTCAAATTAACTGCCAACCAAGATGGTGGCCGGCAGCCAGGCAGCTGAAGCGAACAGGAGGCTTGCTTGCTCCAGTGATGGAGGAAGCCAAGGTTCCCCACCTGCCGCCGCCCAGCTCTGAGCTGCACTCTAAGCAACTATGTTGCAATTATAGAAGCTAAACAATCCCCAGAAACCTGCTTTCAGCCAGCCGGGCCTCAGAGCTGGAGTTGCAACAGTGTTACAATTATAGAACCCAAACAAACCCAGAGACCTGCTTTCAGCAGCTGAGGTCTCAGAGCTGGAGCCAAGCCTCAGAGCTAAAGCTGGCTCTCAGCTCCAGTGACAGCCATAGAAGGTAAATAAATCCCAGAATTAAAAAAAAAAAAAGAAAAAAAGGAGAGGTTGGGAGCTTCAGTCACCCGCCAGCCTGAAAACGGTCCTCAGCCCCTCACCCAGACTGGCCAGGCACCCCAGTGGGGACCCCCACCTTGAAGGGGGTGTGACCAGCTGCAAACAGCCATCATCCCCTCATCCAGGATGGCCAGGCACCCAAGCGGTACCCCCACCCTGATCCAGGACACCCTTCAGGGCAAACCAGCTGGCCCCCACCCATGCACCAGGCCTCTACCCTATATAGTAAAAGGGTAATATGCAAACTGACCCTAACAGCAGAAGGACTGGGAATGACTGGTCACTATGACACACACTGACCACATGGGGGCAGACGCTCAATGCAGGAGCTGCCCTCTTGTGGTCAGGGTGCTCTCACATGGGAGGAGCTCTGCTCAGCCACAAGCCAGGCTGATGGCTGCCAGTACAGCTGTGGTGGTGGGAGCCACTCCTGCCTCCTCAGCAGCGCTAAGGATGTCTGACTGCAGTTTAGGCCTGCTCCCCGCTGGCAAGTGGACATCCCCCGAGGGCTGCCGGGCTGCCAGAGGGATATCTGATTGCCATCTTAGGCCGAATCCCCCAGGGAGTGGGCCTAAGCCAGCAGGTGGTCATCCCCTGAGAGGTCCCAGACTGCGAGAGGGCACAGGCCGGGCTGAGGGACCCCCTCTCCCCCCCGAGTGCACAAATTTTTGTGCACCGAGCCTCTAGTCCTATCTAATAATAGGCAAACATGGTAATTGACCATACCTTCGCTACACCTCCCATTGGCTAATTGGCATGATATGCAAATTAACTGCCAACAAAGATGGCGGTTAATTTGCATATACCAGCTGGGAGCAAAGACTGAAAACAACATGGAAGCGAAGCGCTACAGAAGGGAGCTAAGTAGAGGCGGCGGAGACAGGAACAGAGCCAAGGCTGAGAGGCAGGAGGTGGGAGGCGGGAGGTGGGAGGGGAAACCCGCCACAGCGGCTGGGAGCGGGAGGGGAAACCTGCCACAGTGGCTGGGAGCGGGAGGGGAAACCCAGCCACAGTGGCTGGGAATGGGAGAAAAAAACCCAGCAGCAGCAGCTGGGAGCGGGAGCGAAGCCCACCTCAGCGGGTTTCGCTCCCTTCTCTGCTTTGCTCCAGCCGCAGGAAGCCCTATTCCTTCAGGAATCTTCCCGCAACGGGCCTCTAGTCATGGTATATAAGATGCTACCAATGGACGAAGCTTGGTGAGGGCTATTCTGGGACTCTGTATTATCTCT